AGGATTGCCATGATTCGTAAAACGGGTCGCTCAAAAAGTATTATATTGAAGTATGTAGTTGTTAAGAATAGTAAGGAGTCGCGTTGTAGGTTAAGTATCGGTAGATCAGAAGAACACAATAATGACGGAAACTTCTTCGCGAGAGAGTGTATGTGCCTCACGATATTAGATTAGTCATTCTGTCATTGTCCACGATTGTATTTGAGACACTGCGAATGATCGAGCTACAAGAACTTGCAAGAAATTAGTATTAAACTAATCCAATTATTTTGACATTGATGGTCATTCATTGAAGCGTGCGTATATTAATGCTTAATGTACGCTTTACTGTCGTGTTGCGAAACTGCAAGCGTTTCAACGTTTCCGTATAATAGAACTTTAGGTTTCTGATTTCAATTACAGTTCCTCTCGTGAAGTTTTCGTCGATATTGCAAATATATCAAGGTATCAACGTTTGTGAACCGGTACAAAAACAAGAAAAGGATATACTTTTGTGCCATTTTGTGTAATTTTACGCCATAAGAATTGCCATTGTGTATTTTTTTTTTTTCTAATTAATGTTTATACGGAAAAGAAGAGAGAGCGTCATGTGAAGAATAAGACGACGATTCTCTGTTTTTCCTCACCCTTCTCGGGAGCCATACTTTTACTTTTTACGTTACAATCGATACTTCATACGTTATTTACTATTTTCTCCTTCTCCCCCCCCCCCTTTTTTTTCGTTTGTTCGTTATTTTTGTACCGGTGTATGCTGGGTCGCGAAAGACTGCATGTAAATAACCAGCGTATAGTAATATATTATTTGTATTCGTTCGAACTTCGTGATCGGTATTCACATTTCACTTTTAACTTGCTCTCTCCGGATATTTCTGCAAAACCATGACACGTGCGTGTAGTTCGTAATGAGATATTTTTTTCTTCTTTTTATTTCGTTTTTTAAATTCATCGCCCATAGAATGAAAAGAGATTTTATTGAAATTAATGTCGATATGAAACACAAGCATATTCCGTATCTTGTATCGTGCCAAATTTATTTGGATGATTTTAATCGAATGGAGTTATGTTTTATGTTTATCACTAATGAAAATGAATTATGTTTTATGTTTATCACCAATGTGTTGGAATATCGATCGACGAAATTTTTTTGTTTGTGTAAAAAAAAAAAAAAAAAAAAAAGGAGAGGATTTATCATAAGTCTCCTTAGGCGAAAAAATCCAAATAATTTTTTATGAAATGTCGTAACCTGTGTTTCGTTATTGCCACACGTTTTCGTATCACTGTGTATGTAAATGCTCTGTATTTATTATGAAAACAAATACCCGGAACCTTATGCCGTGAATTTAGAAAGATTAGTGACGAAAATTTATTTCTGAATTTGTGGAACTTAGGAAATTGTAGTTCTTAATTAATAAATTATTAGATTAGTTAATAAATCGCGTGTAGTTGATTTTATTAATATTGATAATCAATTGAAATTATATGTTTTTATCCGTTTCACTGAGCTGTTTTTAATTTTAATGATACGTAGGCAATATTTTATGTCTTCCGCAGTAAATTTTAATTTCTCTGATTAGTCTCACAGTTTTAAAAAAATTCATCATCGTTTTAAATTCGTTGTCAAAAATTTTTACCGGGTCGAATTTGCATTGAGATTAAATATTTGCTTTTTCTATAATAAATGGTGCAAATTTAATGGTTTTGTTTAACGTATGATTAGTCTTTAAATTTTATAACTATATTTAATGAAGAATTCTTAAGTATAAATTCAAACAAATTATGCACAGACATTTTTGAATAAGCCATATGCCACTTCCCATAATATTAAAAAAAGAAAGAATAGTAATTGAGCATTCTGACAAATATATACTTCTACTTTAAGGAAATTAGGAAATTACGGAAAATAAAAGAAATACCATTATTATGTATAGAGTACATTAAAAAAAAATCACTAATAAATTACGCTGTGTATGAAATAGTGATGAAGAATATAAAAACGAAAAGACGAACCAGAAAGTTAAAAAATATAATAGAGAAGTTTGTTATTTTATTTATACTAATTATAATATAATATTATAATTATAATATTTTTTCAATGATTTACGGCATAAGTGTCTTATATCGACCATTTTTTAACTGCGTAGTCACCTTTTAGTAGAACAGAAAGAACAGTAAATTATTTATTTATAATACAACTTAGCATGAAATGTTCCATTGATTATATCAATCATCTCACAGCAGTGTGGTTACAACAAGCAAGCGCGACATTTCTGTGATACAAGACGATATCATTCCGGTACAGCACAGTTCAACACGCTCAAAGACTTAATCAAAAGTTTGAATGCATTGTATGTACTACATATTGTTAGGCCAAGCGATGGAAATTCTATTTTATAATTATTCATATAAGTATATTTTATGTACTGTCGCCTCGAAAGCTATTGAAAAATCGATTGGTAGAGAAAGATCCAATATGTGAAAATTAAATGGAGAGCTAGAGGAATGCCAAAATTTCCGCGAACGAGGCTGCAGGATTGTTGTTTTTACGTATACCAGAGAGATATCTAAAAAAAACTTTGTAGCATATGTAAATTTGAAATTATATGTTTAATATAAGAAGAAATTCGATCGTTTTGTGTATATAAAGTATGATCTTCTAGATAGTATACATTTTGCTTATCATTAGTATCAATACGTAAACAAAAGTGTCCTTAAGATGTACAATTAAATTAAGATCAACGTTAAAAGCGATTTAGCCATTTTCTATCGTGGATAAGAGGGAAAAGTAGTGTATAAATTTTTACATTATTGAAATAATATGTAGATTTATCATTATTTTGTTAACTTTTGTTACATTATATTTACGATAAACAATGACTAAAGTCGCACACTTGTTGATGTTAATTTAATTTATATTATAGATGTTGCTTTTTGAAGGATTGATACGCGAAATGTCGAATAAAGTAAAAATGTGTAAAAGTAAAGTGTAAATATCTTAAAGTTGTCGAAGCCCGAAATTGAAGGAAACATCAAAGTTTATCAGTTTGATCGTCCTTCAAAAAGTTATACATTCGCTCTCTCTATTTACTAATTTATGCTAGTACAGATGCAAAAAAACAGGTATATGAAATATTTTTTATAAACGGGTGTTTATATCTTTGGATCAGGCCTGTTCAAACGTTACCAGGATCCAAAATATTTAAAGTGCCAGCTTTTAATGTTTAATTGTTCATTATATCATATTAGAAAGATAAAAGAGATTATTTTCATAATTCCTTTACTATGTCAATTTAAAGAAAATAATTTAACAAAATAGAAAAAAAAGCAATTATAATTTGCTAATAAAAATTAATACATAGGTTTTCTACGTTTATGTGATAATATATTGAAATATTAAAAGACAACGATATGGTATAGGTACACGAGGATGGTAAAATGATAATAATATTATGAAACATAATACAAAAATTTTTTATTTGTAAGTAAATTTCAACAAAGTTACAAACAAATCATTATATAGAAAAAAATTTACATTGCAATACAATGGCTCAATAATTCATTTCGCTATACATAAAACAATTGAAATTTATATCCTATGAAAAAAAGAAAAGTAGTCTGATTATTACAATATTGTTTGGAAATTCTGTTTTTGGATTAGCAAAGTATCTCTTTTATTGTTTCTAGCAAGTTACACGGTTTTGCCTGTGAATTTTAATACTCAGGAAATATTTTGATAATGACTCCACTCGTTTTAGAATAAGTTTTACTCTTTTAGCAAGAGTGAGTTAATATCTTCAGAATAAGTTACTTTGATGAAAAGCAAAACCTTAGCGTCGAGAGGGACGGTACCAAATAAAAGAGCATTGTTAATATAATAAGTTAAAAGGTTTGTGTTTCTTTAGTGAATATATTGTCCCAATAAATAATCTACGTCCTTTTTTTTTCCTACATATTTCTCGAGGATAAATTAATTCGAGAATGCTCAATACTCTCATCATTTTTCTTTTGTACTATTGTAGTTCTGAATATGTATTGAGAATAAGTTAAATTATATTCGGTGTTATTGTTCGCCTAGAAGATCATTAACATACTCGGATCATCCTAATAATACTTTGTAAGCCCATTCAAGGCCGGTTCCTGTATTTTTTTCAATTGAAATATAACTAATTAATTATTTACTCGAGTTTTTTATTTTCTCAATTGTCAAGTATTTTATTTCAGATATTGTTTGAAATAGTAGAATTCTATTTCATTTTTAATAGTTAAGATATTTTTAACTCGTTTAATTACTGTTTTAAATTAAATTTAAAACAATTGAGATTTAATTATATTTAATTACATTTAAATTACTTTCATAGTTTTATTATCCATCAGACAAGAATTTAACTATTTAACTAATTGCAATTACACTTTCTCTAAACTTTGAGTTATAGAATGAAAATCAATAAATAAATAGTATTATTAAATTAAAGTATATATATTCAGTAAAATTCAATTTCTGTATAAAATATTGATGAGTTAAAAGTAAATTCTATTCAATTTTGTAACTTTAATAATATTGTTTATCTATTTTATTAATATATTAGCCAGATATATCAAAAGCATTCATTATTCATAATAGGAATATATATGTACATCATTTTGATAAATTTATTTATTAGTTATAAAATAATATTTACTATTATATATTATAACTAATAATATGTAAATTGTTCAAAAAATCTATTAATAAATTATTTAAAAAATGAACCGGGATTTCGTCATTTCAATTTGTTAGATTCGAACTGCGTTAGATATACAGTACATGAAAAAGATTAGAAAATATGACAAAATGCACAATATATCAGACAGCTTTTGAACAATTTGTGATAGCATATGAATGTTATTGTATTGTATGAATTTATGAAAAATCAATGACTGAGAAACAGTATTTACGCATTAATTTTTTATAAAATCAACAAATTATAAAATTCAATTATTTATTAAAAATATTTGTTAACGTATAAACATGAAACAGATGATTTATTGATATATATACCTGTTAGTTTTTATTTGTGCAATTGCAATAATCTTACAAATTCAAAATCCAAGAACTTCTAAATAAAAACCTATTTATAGTCAAGAACGCGTCAAAAATTTCCACAACAGCCTGAGAAAGATAGCCAAGAAAAGTGTTAAAATAATTCCTATTTTATATTTCGATGGTTTCATTTCCATTGGTATCCCAGATATAGTTCCTTTTGGTAAACATGGTTTCAACGCTGGGGACACACCTTCGGTTATTGGCTCTCCCTTCATTGAATATTTCGATGTTTCTACGATTTTTACTGTGATCATCTTTCCCAAATATTCCTCCCTCAATGGTACTAAAATCTGTTCGTAAAATTTGTTATGCCCAACGTAGTGCTTTTTATCATGGGATATCTCTGTGACTAGCACATCTTGGACAAGTCCTATTCTGTTATCGTACGGTAAGTAAGACTGAAAGAATTCTGATAATTTTTTGGTTCTTTTTTTAACCTCTTGCGTAGGTACTTTTGGCATTCGCGCGGCCGGTGTACCAGGTCTGGGGAAGAACTGATTGATGAATAAAATCGGGAACTTGTACTTTTCGCAAAGTTTCATCGTCTCCTCAAAATCCTTTTCTGTTTCCGTTGGAAAGCCACAAATAATGTCGGTCGCGATGGTCAATCCAGGAACACGTTCTCGCAGAAAGTTGACAACCAGCTCGAAGTCGGCACGAGTGTACTCTCGTTTCATATCGGCTAGCACCTGGTCGCTTCCAGACTGCACCGGAACATGAAGAAAGCTGTAGACTTTTGGATGTTTCAGTATTTTGCTCATCTGTTCCAGATGCTCTAAGATATACGGTGGATTGGTCATTCCTACGCGAAGTCTACATCCGTTAGGTATTACTTCCACGAGTTTCCACAGTAATTCGGGCAAACTCGAGCCAATATCTCTGCCGTAAGTCCCCGTGTCTTCGGAGGTTAACCATAACTCGCAGACACCTTCGTAGAATGCCTGTATCGCATGTTCGACAATTTTCTCCGGGGGATAACTTCCCAGTTCACCTCTGGCATGTTTTGTCTTGCAGTAGGTACACTGGTTCAAACATCCTGTATTTATAGCTATGATCTCGATCAATGGATTCCTACGAATCTTTGGCAAACTTAAGGAGGCGCCGCCGATTTTTTTACCAGCTTCCTTTTTCTGCTGCAAGAACCGGACGATGTTCCCTTTTAGAGTTTCTTCGACTACATCTATCACGCGATCGATTTGTTGCACACCGATCATGCTTAATCCTTGCAAGAAAGATGATTTTGGAGCACCTTGCGGTACACATCTAAAAATAATTTTTTTTAAATTATTACTTGTATCTTTTATTTTTAGCAAAAATTGTTTCTCTCAATGTTATATTTGTCAATTTTTTTTTAATTTTTTGTATATGAGAAGAAATTATTATATTTTCATAATTAAAATAATTTTTCTTTTATGTTTCTGTATTATATTTCATGAAAAATTATGAAAAGTAACACTAAGTTAAGTAATCTGAAAAATGTATAAGAAACTTTGATTAAGAATTATTATTTATTAAAGAAAAACAAAATATATTATTAACAATAATATATTAACAATATAGTCTTATTAAATGTAACTTTTATTCTGTTCAACATAATGTATAGCAACATAGAATCATATAATCGTTATTTAATAGATCTTGATATAAAATGAAACAAATTAAATTGAAAGAAAGATATTTAGATAAAAGAAAACTATTTCTTTTTCCGTCTCAAATTTAGATTTTTTTAATTATTATAAGCAAGAGAGAAATATATATTAATCTATTTCATATAATTTCATATATTATGCTAAAATTATTGTCATGAAAGATTAAGATACTGTCAGAGTTCTTAAGTGTACATTTTATTCTTCTCAAAGAATAAGACATTCTTTGTTAATTACTTTGCCTTTTTATTACATGTTATTGTAACTTCAACTTATTTTTGTTTACTTATTGACAATCTTTTTACAATAAGTAATCAAAATCATGAAAAAATTATATAATATGGGACAGCTTTTGTAAAGTGATAAAAAGAGCTACTAGATATAAGGCATAAAGAAATTTTCATACCCAGCAACAACAACATGTTTTCCCATCTTTCTTCCAGCTTGAATCTCATTCCTAAAATGATCCTCCGCTGGATTTTTTACAGTGCAGGAATTCAAGAGCCACAAATCTGCTTCATATTTGTTTTCTGTTAATTTGTAACCATAAGCAGCAAGCTGACCGGCCATGTATTCACTATCAGAATTATTATGAGTGCATCCCCATGTTTTTACATAGATTGTCTGCGTTCCTGGTACAATGCTACTATGAATTGAGAGTTGCGGCACTTCCTCAGTTATTTGTTTACGTTTAGGACGAACAGTGACATTCTTTCTTGTACTATATCGTTCCTTTGGTGTAATATCTTGCGATGATATTAAATCTTCTATATCTTCAATTATGTCTTGACACGGAGCTGACATTTTCTTCACAAAAGTTAAATCACTTAAAGTGTTTATAGGTTATAATCGCGCGTTAATAATCGGATTTTTTGGATTCAGTTTATTTAAGAATGTTTGTTTTTTGTCTCGGTAATATAATAAAATAAATAATATAATTATTCAGAAAATAAAAGAGGAACACATTTAGAGGAAGTTTACTGAATATTATATAGGCTAGGTTACGTTCTACAATTACATATCACACGTGAGAATCCTGGAAGTTTCTGCTTATGACATCTAGGGTTTAGAGCGACTCATTTTATCATTTCTTATTTTCAACGTTACCAACTGGGTAGAATAAGATTACAGCGTTTGTAGTGTGATCGTGCGCAGGTCTCATGACTAGATTTTCGATTGTAGCCAATCAACGATCAGCATATGCGTAACTTCCGATTATGAAAAGTAATTCGCATCGTTAAAACATCATTGGTACTTCAGACGTAGCATAGAACGGAGGATCATGTGAAGAAAACGAAGTAAGCACTTGTGTATACTTAGTTAATGTGAAAATGGAATATTCGTATATAAATTTAATATTCATTTGCTACGTTATTGAGATAATAAATTTTAAAATTAATTGAATTTTAATTTAAATATAACGATTTGAATTTTAATTTATTATATGTGATAAGAGAGTACATTTCATTGAATTATTCGTAGATTTTAATATTTTTATGTATTCGATACCAATTGAATTGAAATATGAATATATAAATAATTAATAATATAAATTGATTTTTGGAATTTTTGTAGAGAAAATGGATATTTCAATGCAAGAATGTGTAATATCTGCAACTACGTCGTAGTCTACACTTTGTACAGGGTGAGTAACACATATTTATAAATTTTGTAACAATTCCATATTGATAGGAACAAAGATAAATACAATATCCTACTATAATTCAAATACAATATCCTACTTTGTTTTAGAATTCATATGTTATGCAAGCTCGTTGTGATTACTCATGTAAAAATAAACTAAAAATATAGAAAATTTTTGTTTTGTTTTAAGAAAGTATAGAGTTTGAAAATTTGTTTAATACACATATTAAAGTTTTGCTTACTACTGATTGGATATCAGTAAATAATTAACAGGAGTTTGCTCTACATGTGAGATAAAGTCAAAAATGAAAAATAAAATTTGTAGAACTCTGCTCTTAATGAAATAAGAAATTGAATGTATTTAATGTTAAAATTTAATCTTTTTTCGAAAAGTTTCGAATGAGAAAATTTTATATTTATTTTACATTTTTAATTTATTTTCATGTATAATATATATAATATTTCATGTATAATATGTGTTATCATTATAGTTATCTGTTTTTATTTAACCATTCGGTAAATATACTTAATAAATTTTCAAATGGACTTTCTAGAAAACGTGGTTTCAAACGAAAAAATTTTATTTCACATTTTTAATTTTACATTTTGCATGTAAAATTACATCTTGTCTGTCTGTATCACGATTTCAGAATAAGCACATATAATAAAGCAATAGATTTAACTTATTAGAAAATGTAAAGTATTTTATTTGTTATTTTTATTATTTTATCAAATACCAGATCGTTTAATTTTTTTTAAATATCAAATTATTTTTAATATATCGATGCTCGATTTATGGTCCATCCGGTATTTTATATTGTGTATTTGAAAAAATATTCACGCAGTTTTAAATATTGATATAAGCTCTTGTAATTGTTCATAATGGTTAACGGTTAACGGTTAAGGTGTTTTGGTTGTTTACATTTTTTTTTAGTAACTGCTGACAATACTGTTCATACATTGTTATCATGGTTTGTAAACAGTTACGTATATATATATATATACATACTAGGATAGTTACATATATACATATATATATATTAGGATCTATTGCCCTATTGTCGAAAGATTGCTATGACAAACAGTTTTTTTTATTAACATGCTTAGAACGAATAACGTTGATCGTTATGCTCTCCTTTGTCTCTTCTCTTCTTTATATTTTCTTTTTTAAATTTACAAAGTGTGCAATTTTAATACAATAAATTAAATGTGTACGTTTGTATATTCTTATTTTATAATATTTTGTATTAAGAATACATACATATATATTATATGTATTAATATTTTGTATTAAGAATACATACACTATATTTATTACATATTTTATTTACATTTATTTACATATTTTTATTACTACTCATTATTTTTTGTTTTTTTATTTTTTATATTCAATTTTATTATACTTCAATAAGTTTATTTATTCAAATCAAGATTAATACATATATGTGTTTTCAAAATTAAAAAAAAAAATTAATTTCGAAATTTCGAAATTTAATATACACATATGAAACACTTTATGAAACAATATACATATACGATATATTATACAATATATTAATTTTATAATCCGGGGTTGCTAGAAATATTATTTTTAATATGAAACCTTATTTTACAATTAGTTATTTCATACATTCGGGACAAATAATATTGTTTAATTTGTAAATGTTGGAATAGGATTGCAAGAATAAAATAATATAATAATAATTATAATATTTATTATAATTATTTATAATAATAGTAGTGTAATTTCAAAATTAAGAAATTTTCAATTTTTTGATAAATTGAAATTAAAGAAAATTCTGCAAGTAGACATTCTTTTTGTTCAAAAGTGACTATTCAAAAATTCTTTAAATAAAAAAAGATGATTTCAGAGAATATTATAGAATTCTAGATATTGTCTAAATTCATTTATAATCTATTATTCAAATATACAGTCATTAATTTGTAAAATTTATTTCAGAGTAAAATTCAAATAAATTGTAATCCATTATTACAATATACAAAAAATATTGTTTTTAACATTTTAATTTAATTGCAATTAATAAAATTATAATAATAAATGTTAAAATTCAATACTATTTTATTAAGAAATAACTGTATTTCACTTCTAAATATTAACTGTTTCTTTATATTTTTTTAGAACTTCAAATATCATCATGGCAAAAAATGTTCAGTACAAATACATGTTCATACAAAACATTAATGTGTTTTTGACTAAGGCAAGTTATTGTGAATCTTCTTTCGTGCTGTTATGGTAAGTTTTTATTGGAATAAAATTGTGATAAAGTCTATGATTGATTTCATTATTAAAATATTTAAGTATTCCAATATACATATTGGAATAAGTTTATGTGTATTTATATTATGAAAGTCAAGCAATTCGAACATTTATGGAATATAATTTTATTTAACAAAGTTATCATCAAATTCTCCTTTTTAACATTTTGCAAGTTTATGAAATCCGCAAAAAATAAATGACTATACTTTTTAATTTCTTAATTATTTTTAAAATTCTCATATGCAGAAACATTCGTTATAGATAAAAATTATATAATTACACATATACATGTATACTCATGTATTTAAGTGTGAAGTATTCAAAAATTGTAAAATGCGATTAATGAATAAGTATATTTAAGTAAACATAATTTTGATTATATATTAATTATCTATAATTTATTATATTATACAGTAGTATTTTAGTAATATTATATTACTCTATTACAATATATATGATGCATTATTTATAATAATATATTATATATATATATAATATAGTAACTAATTATATAATCTTTCTTGCTTCATAATTTTAAAATAATGCAAAAACATTAAAAATATTGCAGAATTAATGTACAACTTTAAGACATTAGGATAATACAATTTTTAAATACAAAAATATTTTCTATTTAATAAATTAGGATACTATAAATATATTTAAATTAACTTAGAACTCTAATGACCTTTATGTTTAAGTAAATCAAATTTTTTATGATTTTAACTGGTTATCAATTATAGAATATTAGTTATCAATTACAGAGTAGAAAAGAATCAAGAAAATAATACTTGCTAAAGTAAGAACTGAGATAACCAATCTAAGTAAATTTAATTTTTACTTAAATTTGGTTCTTGTCGTTCTCACTAGAGCCAAGCTTTATCTTAATTTTAAAACTATCCTATTTGAAACAAAATTAAGTATATATTAAAACACAATAAAACAGATGAACAGAATAAAATTGATCCAAGTGATAAGGTGAAGTTACCAATCAATAAAGATAAAAAACTGTTACTGATATTTCAAGTAGTTCAAAAGTTACAATTTAAAAAAGAAAAAGGAATCATCTAATAATTTCAAGTCTTTGCTTTAACAATCCTCAATTCGTTTTCCTAAATATAGCAGTGAAGAAATAAGTTTGGAAAGTAGAAAATAGACTTTCAGTGGAAAATGGACAGCGCGCATAATTGAGACATCAAAAGTTCATTTAATTCCTGTTTCTGTGCACTTTCAAAGACGGATAATATATTGAACGTGATATAGCTCATATAGTCCAAAATATGAGCGCGTTGTCTATGTCCGATCTATCTAAGTAGATCATTTAGTGGCATCATGATTCATGCAGCGTGCGGAATGAATTGTCTGTAAAACTTGGCCCTGCCGAGGAATTTCCTAAGTAAGATAGGCTTAGAAAAATTCCGGATGGCTTCGACGCAAGCAATTCGGTTTGATTCTGCCTTTGTTGATGGTGTATCCTAGGAAGATTAATTGCGGAGATTGATCATTATGCTGATCACTGATTAAGACACTCGAACAGCAATTTTAGTTTAGTTTAGTTTTAGTTTACTGCTTATTCGAGGTCCAACGATCGTTTTGTTCGACATTGTGCTTCGGCGCTTTGTTGCTGGTCTTGTTAGGGCCGGGTATTCAAACAGCAGTCGGTGAAACAGAGTATCGTCTTCGATTGTACGAATGAAGACGATATCTCTTTTCACACTTGCTAATAAGTGCGTGATGTCGAGCAGATATCTTTTCGCGGATTCTCCAATAGATTGCAATGGGATACGAAGTCTATCCTGATGACGACTATTCTAAGTCTATCTGAACTGGGCTTCCATCTGCATGAACTATGCGGGCTCATTTTCCAAAAGGGTCGTAGCTTCAGGCTGCGACCACTGATCTCGCCGTTCGTGTGGTCACATTTGTAGTGTGGAATTTTGTCACTTGGCTCCCTGTTCTTGGTGTTTTCTCTTCTGTTTATTTTTAGTTTTGTTGGGATCATTAGTTTGGACCAAAGACCTTGTGTCCGAGGAAACGAATTGCGAGTTGATGGTTGCTATATTATACCTTTACTTCTTGTGAGATAGTTGCTAGAACAGCGGGAGCTGATATAGTGGACATTCGCAGGTTTGAACTAACGTGTCTTACTGTTTACACCCAATGCACTTTTATAATATTGCTCATACTGATGCGGCGTTTTTTTTCCCTTTGAAATTCTAGCAATTCTGAACACCTTTGCCCTATTTTCTGCGTTTTTGAAACGCATAAGATAAGTTTATATTTTTGGAGTTGTTAGTTTACTTGTTGCTGCGGGGAAAGCAGGAGAAGTTTCAAAAATCCTGCATGCCTTGATAAATCCACTATTGATTTTTTGTGCTTTGATTTACGTTGGTTGGAACCCTGATTCTGATTTTAACTGGAATGTTGTTTTGCCATGTTTGGTATCATGTTTTTTCATGGTAATGATCATATGATCATAGCGGCTAAGCGATTATTCT